GATAATGATAATAATAATAATATAAATATTAATAATGATAATAATAATAGTAATAAATTATACGAATAGAAACGATCTGAAACCTACATAATTTTAATACCTAAAAATTAAACATTCACATAATTTATTGTTCAACTCTATTTTTTTTTTAAACATTTAATATTATAATCTTATTTTAAGTTCAACTACTTATATTCGTTCGGATTAAGTCTGCTTAAGTACGATATTATTTACAATCTAGAAATAAAATTCCAAGTGATATACACCGATTACATGCCCACCCAGTTAACGTTCACCGATAAATACAAACACATATTCGTCAACATAATAACAATAATCATCATTATTAAAATAATAATTATTATTACTACTACTAGTATTATTATCATTATTATTCTAATAACGTTGGCAAACAACTGCACACTGCAGTACCTATACATATACAATACAATCGAGATAGTATAGGTAGGCGTATACCTGTAATTATTATAACACAGTGTTATTACAATACAACCTATAGAGGTAAGTACACAACGGCGATGATTAAAAATATCAACAAGTTCGATAAGCTCACTACACATTCGTAAAAATTAAAATTCGAGTAACAGTTATACCTATTAAAATATTATAACGAATACATTTCGTTCACCGATAATAATAGCACTGGTATTAAGGTAAAATTAAAATTAAAATTAAACGATTTCTATCTGTACATTCAAAGGTGTAACGGTATGATAAGCGCGCATAATTAAAAATCGGCAAAACTTAAAACAAAACTTTTATAATAAAAATACATAATAATATTCTAATTTGTAAAATTAAAATTAAATTGTGTTTAAAAAATTAAATAATGAAAAATGTTTTATCGTCTTTCAGACGTGATTCAAACTTACAATCTATTATATATAAAATTATACAAAGTATGTATAACGTCCGATTTCATTGTGCCCACAGTTTTTGGGTTTCTTAATAAGAACATACTATTTTGATAATAAAGTTATACCCGTTGAATATTTCATATTTTCGATTTACTCGACATGTTTTCACCGATCGTTTCACAGAGACGAACAGCTCTCGATCGAATAATTCGTATCGACAGGTGTCTGGATCAGTTGTTTTGAGTTCTCGTTGATGATCGTCTCCTCTCGTTTTTTGTCGATTTTCCTCTGTTTGGCTCGTCTGTTTTGAAACCATATTTTCACCTGTAATTTAATACATTTCAAAATAATAATATA